TTCCTATTATAAGTCGAAAAATGCATAGAAATAGAGGTGAGTATTTAATCGAGTCGTGTTAAAAAGTTTAAAGTTAATTGAATTGATAAATTTTATTTTATTACTCAATTTTTAAAAAAAAAATTGAGTTGAATTTATAAAATTTGGGTTAAGTTGTTCAAGTTTTTTTTTTAATTTTAATATTTTTTATAATCATATATACATATATATATATATATATATATATATATATATATATATATAAACATAGAGTACAAGGATTCGACTTAAACTTGAAAATTAATCTATTAATTATTGAAGTTATTCATGTTTTATTTTATTTATTTGAATTTTTTTCGAATTAAATTGAGTTTATTGAATTACAAGTTAAGTCAAGTCGTATTGAGATTTTTATTGTTAAATGAAATCAAAAAGTTTAATTTTTTTAGGGTAAACTATGCAAATGGTCTCTTTTGTTTAGAGTCTGTCCGACTTTAGTCACTAATTTAAAAATTAAGGGTAAATGGTCCCTAACATTATCGATTCATCTTGTCCCTCCATCATTAACCCTTAACGAATATGTGACATAGTTGATGAACTAAAATTGAACGGGAGTTAACGGCTGAGGGACTAAAATTAAACGGATTGATAATGTTAGGGACCATGTACCCTTAATTTTTAAATTAGTGACCAAAGTCGGTCGGATAAAAAAAAAGGACTATTCACATAATTTACCCAAATATTTTAAGTCAAATATAATTTTATTTGCTCTTATTTAACCGTGGAAAAATGAGTGGAGAACAAATCTTGAATTGGGTAATCAACGCAAAAGTAAAGGACACAAAAAACTCTCTTGGGATACGCAGACAGATTGAGGGAGCGATTTGAGACAGATGAAGCTCCCACCCATTGCTTTCTCATCTATTATAAACTTAAGCATCATTTCTTAGCATGGTTTAAGCAATCTATAAATGAAATATACCTGTATATATATTAAAAAGTAATGGGCTACATCTTAACCCTATTGGAAAAAATATCCCCAATTTTGACCATATGGAAGCACACAACTAACTAGAAGCAACTATAATAATCTGCTGTCATTGGAAAAAACAAGCAATGATATTGAAAGGTAGGTGCAGGGGAAGCTGTAATTATGAAGGGCTTCTGCATATGGTGTAAGGCCGAATGGAAATAATTGTTGAACTGAGATCCAAACAATTTATTATGGAACCGGACATTAATTGTATGGTTGTTGTATGAAATAATAGAATATTAAAAACCTCCATTAAGACCTGCACCTCTCACTCACACCAGCTGACTCAAAAACTGGCTAAAACAGTCCTATTATCACTGCACACAAGTGGAAAAAAAATCAAAATGGTGATTTATGAGTTTTTTTGCCTTGGGTTTCTTGTACTAATCTTAATTTGAATTGCATTCAGTGCCAAGCAAAAAAGAAAAAGTGATAATGATGGTTCACAAACCTGCAATAATATTCTCTCTTGCTGCAGTTTCCCAGAAAATCCATGAGAAAAACAACCGGGTTCACAATTACAAAACCAAACCACGTTCAAAGGGAGGGCAACGAGCAAAGCAACTCAACCCTATTTAATCATGCTGAAACTACGTTCATAAATATATATATATATAAGAGTTCAAAAAAAAAAGAGTTTAATTGATTAATTCATCTCTACCTTCTGTACTCTGTACAATATCTGGTTACTCGCTACTCACCAACTAATTCTACGTATACTAAATTGTGATATCATCCAAAAATATGCTCATAGCATAAGAAGATTAAGAAAGAGAGATTACCTAAATTTGACTTCATTTGCAGCTGGTTTTCTTGACATGCATCACCTATTGTGTAATGGGTTGGAGCCGGTCGGAACTCTTCGTTTTTCTTCACCGAAGTGGGAGCTGGGTTGATCTTTGAAGGGGGAACTACTAGTTGACGACGACCATGGACGAAAAACATGTTGACGAGGTTGTCTGCTATGTTCGGTCGAAACACCAGATGCATGAGTCCTGGAAGTATATAGGAAGAAGATAACAAGGGAACAAAGCTGAAAACGATTCATCTTTTTATTTTTGTTGGTCTGAGAGGGATCGATGGAGACTGGAGAGATATGGGAAATCAAGGCACTAATGGCAAACCCAAGTTGATATTATTATTATATATATAATAATATAAGTGCACAGGCATTGGTCCATTTCTTTTATGTATGCAAGTTTTTTTCTTTTTTACCTTGGGATCTTAGTTAGATCGGTGTGTTATTATTATTATTATGGTTTTGTGGTAGGGCCATGGGATTGGGAGTAGAGTTGGATAAATATGATCAGACGGTGGAGAAAGATCAAAGGAAGGGGATGACCGGCATTTGACGGTGGGGTGCGGTAGTTGAAGTTGAAAGCTAAAGGAGACAGGAGAATGACACAAACTCTTATGTGAAAACTTGGAGTGGAGGGGAAGGGAAGCCATCTCTGTCTTCCAAATTGCAGATGGGAAATACTGGGTTAATGGATGTTGGAATTTGAGTCTTTTCCGCAGAAAATAAAAATGACAACTGGAGTCCTACAATTGTAGGGTATTTTTTCCCAACAATATATAACATATGCTTGAAGAACAAAATTAATTAAGTTGCTATAAAAAAAACCAAATGAAAACCCTAGCTTGTTACATTCTGCCGAACCGCATGTTTGTTTGATATTATAAGCGATCGAGGAGAATGTATTTAATAATAAAGGGGAGTATTATTGATTTTAGAGATTTTAGGTTCGAATAATTATGTTTAATAGGATGTATGTATGTTGTGAGAGAAAACAAACCTAAATAAATATTATATTATAATTATTCAAAACTAATTAAAAATAAAATAATGGAGAAATTTTATGTCGTACATGATGCGAACAATGTCATCGGGGCTATGGAAGGCTTATGATGATGCAAAGGAGGTAGGTTTTTATCATTGCAAAAGTTCCACTTTCAAAGATCTTAAAAGGTAAATTAGATTTCTAATCAATTTAAACCCATATTTTTAATGTTCACCGACACAAACTTACTCATCAAGGATTTTTTTTAAAAAAATACACGAAGGTAGAAAAGAAACTAAACCAGTCAGCTATAGCCACGGTCCGATCCTTTTCAAGCAAAGCACCTACGGGCTCAGGCAGCTCCGGGAATATGTGCAGACCGAACAGGAGGGACCTCGTCATCTTCGTCAAGCCATCAACAACTGTATTTTATGCCCTCGGTATATTGCCAAATCGTAGCTGCCAATTCCATTGGAGTAGTTGAACAGCATGCGACATCATTGGTGATATTCTCTCCATCGACATGCCTTGTATTAACATGTAAAATACCTCCTTATTATCCGTCTCTAATATAATATTTCACATTCTAAGATTCTACACTATCTCGCGTCCAACGACAATTTCTCATAATTCAACATCCAAGATGAAACAACATCACTTATCATTAATTTTTATTATATAGGAAGTCGAGAATTCCTTTTATTATTTAGAATTTATCAAAATATTAAAATAATTATATTCATATTTATAATTAGATTTAAGTAAAAAAAATTACACTAGTTAAATGAAATTCAATTTAAACAAAATGTTCAGTCTTTTTTCATAATGAATGGACCAATTGTTGTGTATTTGGGTGGTTGGTATAGCTGTCTTATCTAATATTCACTCAAATTCTAAGTCCCAAAACCATCCAATGATCTTTTTTAATATAATTGAATTTCAGAGATATCCATTTACAATTATAATTGAATTAAAATTAATTTTTATATGTATATTTGAACTAAAATTAAATTTTCATATGTATATATGTACAAATCAAAATTCATTACACATTTAAATAAAATTCGTATATAATTTTGATATTTATCTCATATTTATAAGGTAATTTTTTATAATAATATTTTATTGTTCATACTAATTTATAATTAAATTATGGAGTAATAGTATAGAAACTAATAACTCATTTGATATACATAATAATCATAAAAAGGCATTGTTAAATAATTCGTCTAATGATAAATACTTACAATTTTTTTCTTTGCCTTTATAATGATATTTGTAATCAATCACTACTAGCAATCCTTTAACATAATTACCTCTTAAGACTAGATTTATCGTCAATCACTACTAGCAATCCTTTAGCATAATTACCTCTTAAGACTAGATTTATCGTCAATCACTACTAGCAATCCTTTAACATAATTACCTCTTAAGACTAGATTTATCGTCAATCACTACTAGCAATCCTTTAGCATAATTACCCCCTTAAGACTAGATTTATCGTCAGACATATTATGATATATTCATCTCTTTCTGGTAAAAACTCAATATTTTATTTTGACATGTTCATCTCCATTTTGCTTAAATGATGAATTGTTTTCTTATTCCAATGCCAGAACCTGAGTATAAGACAAAGACGATGCTGAAATTGATCGAAGAAGATGCAGATTCCTTTCTGCAACGTGCAGAAATGTACTACAAGAAGAGGTCGGAGTTGATTAGCTTGGTTAAAGGTCTCTACCGAGCCCACCCCACCGTTCACTCGCCGAGCGATACGATCAAGTGAAGACAGGCACCTAGGATCATCCTCATCCATGAAGTTCGACTTAGAGAAGACAATTAATGTGATGGACATGGCCTACGGCAGTCACTCCGACAATGCCTAATCCAAAGTCGATGACGCTAAACATGACGTAATATACGAACTTTCAAGAGGGGTATCCGAAGATGATGAAATAATGAAGCTAAAGGAAAAAAAATAGAGAGACTGAAAGGAGAGAACAAGAACCAGAATGCTTAATTGTTGCAGAAAGATAAGGAGAAGAAACAAGTGATTAGAGAAGTCGGTTTGGCAGTCCAAGTGCTCAAGGATGATAACATTGAGCTCAAGAAGACTATTGCTGAACGATCCATCCCAGCCCCAGGCAAGAAATGGAGTCCCCTGGAACTCAGCAGATTAAACGGTGGAATTTTTTTTTAGTCAGCTGTTAACCTTCAAAACCTCTTCTTTTCCAAACAACTTTTCTAACGCGACGTAAATCTCTTCCTTTCAAAGCCCTTCCAATTCCTTTATGGACCAAAAACGAAGCCCCTCTCCTCCTAGCCAAATACTCATGCGGCGGAACCCTTCCGTCTCCATCGCTGTTGTCTTCTCCGCCGCCGCCGACGATAACATCTTCATCGGTTTTCCCATGTTCTATGTATTCCGCTTGGAGAGTCTTGGACCAGTGTGGGATGTTGACTGGCAATGAAGCTGAAGCAACTGCCGTTTGGGCTCTCCTGTGTTTATTCTTATAACTAATCTGAATCTCCATCTTTTTAGAGACCTTAGACGAAGCTCGTGAACTGCGCAATGGCTTCTTGGGGCCCAAGTTGGTCGTTGCTTGATCATTTGAATTGTTCCATACATCATTTTTAATGTACACCTCTGACTCAACAACGTTACTCGTTAATAATTAGGGATGGCAACGGGCCGGGTTCGGGTATTGGTCCCCCGTCCGTCCCCGTTTAAAAAACCGGTACCCGTCCCCGTTTAAAAAACCGCGGGGATTTAAACGGGGATCCCCGTCGAGTAATCGGGGAAAACCGCGGGGAAACGGGTATCCCCGTTTAGCACAAACGATTATTTAAACGGGTATTGGGCCAGATATTGGGTCGGTATTGGGCTGGGAATCGGGCCGGGTATATATATATATATTTAAATTAAATATATATTTTTTATTTAAATTAAATTTATTAATATTATATATATATATATATATAAATAATTATTTTTAATATTTATCGGGTCGGGTATCGGGGCGGGTAATCGGGGCGGGTAATCGGGTAATCGGGGCGGGGATTACCAAACCCGTCCCCGTTTAAAATAAATGGGTTTTCCCCGTCCCCGTCCCCCTTTATCATCCCCGAACCCGACCCGTTTAATTCGGTTTTCGATTTTCCCCGTCGGGTTCGGATTTTTTTGCCATCCCTATTAATAATCAGATCATATTACTATATTAAAATCACTTAGTCATGTTATAATTAATATTAAAATTATGGTGATCATATCAACACCAATCTCATAATTAAATGATCATTTGAGTAGTTCATCTTAAAAAATAAACAAAAATACTACGTACTAATTTTTAAATTTTTCAAAAATAATATGGAATTATCTTACGATAACAGATCATCATCACCGTTAGTTTTTTAACAACAAACGGTCAAAATGGAAGTAAAATGTAAATTTAAGTATGATTTTGAGAAAAATAATAATAGTTAAGTGATAAAAATAGAACCAAAATGATAATTAGATGACTAGATAAGTAGTTTACCCAATAAACAAATTCACAGCAAACCATTTAACAAACTTACTTAAAACTCTAATCACCCGTTTGGAAATTAACTGACCTAAAACGAGGCCGGAAAGGAGGGGGAAAAGGAGGGAAATTTCAAAAATCAAAGGCGGGGGTAATTTATTGGATATATAAAACGACTGATACAATTTTGAAATCAAGGAGAGAGTCGACGGATGAAGAGAATAATCGAAACCGAAGAGGAAGAGGCCGAGTTCCTATCGGCGGTGGCGGCCGCCGAAGAATCCATTGCCAAGCGCCGCAAACCTAACCAAGACGATATCGAGGGGGCCTACACCGCCGCCCTCAAAGGGAGCAAAAGCAGTCTCTGGCAACAAATTAACCCCCTTACTACTTCGCAGAGCAAGAGCAGAGTTCACGGTTCAGCTGCTGCGGGGACAAGGGGATCCGGATCGGAGAAGAGTTGCCCGTGCGGGTCCGGTACTTGTTTGATTCTCACTGCCAACACCGAAAGGAATCGCGGTCGAATGTTCTATAAATGTCCTCTTAGACAGGTTCATGTTTGCGCACCTTAATAATTTTCATATCTCTTTCAATAGCTTACGGCTTCTATTTCAAGTAATGGCTTCTGGTTTCGGTATAGGAAAATGGAGGCTGTGGTTTCTTTATGTGGTGTGACTCTGACATTGCTTCCCAAACTCATAGCAATGGCATTCCTATGCATACCAAGGTAAAATTTTCCCTTCCACTGAAACTTATAAATTCATCTTGTATTAGTTGTCTTCTTTACAATGTAATATTTCATGCAGATAGAGAAAATTTCACTTAGTTGTCAGCAATATGAACCTGTGCAATGTTGAAATAGAATTAGATATACAAGAACCATAACGCATGTAAGTTGAACAAGCTGTCAAATAGAGGTTTGTGTGAAAGTCATTCACAATTTTACCTTGAGAATTGCTCAAAATGGAGAAAGATTGCATTATTGTTTGAATTTGTAATCGCATCATTAAGAAAATATTAGTCGTTTCGTCTGCCATATACGACACCAGAGGAATCAATAAGCAGCAGTGGCAAAGGACGAGAGATATTGAGTGGTGAGGAAGGTTGTTTGAGCTCGTCCATAACCCTGTGTGGGAGAAGTCTGTGAGGTGTCGTCTGTCAAGCTACTCAAGTAGTCGATCGAATTTCCACCCGGACAATCTTTATTGTATTTCTTGTAGTGTCTATGCTCGATTTTAGACTCAGAAAATTTGCACCACTTTTAGTATCAACATAGGCATTTAAGATAACCGTATTGGCTTTAAGGCTTTGCTTTCCGTGCAGGGAAGTTCTGGGGGTTCCTTCGAGTCATGTAAAGATCAAACTGTATCAACTAATGCTCTTCTTACTGCTTCTAGAGGCTACTGCAACATGAATGATCCAAGCAACAGCGCCTATACTGTAAGAACCGGATCTTCATGCTTCAAATGTGGAAAGGATGGGCACTGGGCTAAAGATTGTAATGTTCCTTCATCGCATACTCCTGCTAAATCCGGCACTTGCTATAAATGCGATAAGCCTGGGCACTGGGCCAAGGACTGCACTTCCATGGATGCCGGAAAAAGCTCCAAGACAAATGGCTAATTTGGTTAGTTGTTTAGGTAGTCTGTAAATTCCAAACATTTCAAGACTCCACCACTTGATGGCGTACTTTGCCAACGAATATGGTATTATTTGTGACATTTCATTGCTGCTGGTAATGCTAATGTAGAAACAAAGTGGTTGATTCACTTGGTTCATGACCCGCGTACTCTTTAACTTTAATGCAAATCCGTGTAATTTTCGTTATACATGGCTTATAAATAGAATTTGTCATATTTGTATTGTGGTAAAGGATTAACAAGTGAACTAAACCTGCACATCCGCTTAAACTCATACCTATGCTATGGATTGGGTGCGTAAGTGCTTAAACTCATGCCTATGCTATGAAATGGGCGTGTAAGTGACTTTGTAACTTGATTAGCATATAATGTTGTATAATATAATTGCAAAACAAAGATGATGGCACTGATAAGTATTAATAGATGAGGAAATGAAATAATAAACTAAATAAAATATTATGTTGCGGAGAATTAATGTATCAGAAGTGATCAATGTAATTTGAAAGACGTTTTCAAAATTTATACATTGTTTTGAAGAGGATTATTTTTTTTAACGAGGGCAAGACGAGAATGAACGAACTACCAAAGTAGAAGAAATTATGAAAATAAGTGAGGCCGCAGAAGAAAATGAAGAGAGGTTTCCCTTTCATATGATAAGCGATAGGGGTATAATTGTCCAAAAATAGTGGACGTGTTCTTCGAGTCTCTCAATAACCCCCCTCAAAATCAAATTCATATGATTCTCTCAATAAGTATAACTTTTAAAGAAATGGAAAAAAATTAATAGAGATATTAACTGTTTATGTACGGATATATGTTAAATTTAAACTAAAATATAAGTAAAATAAATAATTATTTTCTTAACAACTGAATAAATATAAAACTTATTAAAAGAAAAGTAAACTTGTTACAGTATATTGTCAACCAGCTTTACTCATATATAACAATGTCTTAAAAAATTAAGTAAATAGGTTATGTACAGGGGCGGAGCTTAGTGTCCAAAGGGTTCGTTCCTTGTTAAAAATTGTATATTTAATATAATTTTGATTTATGTAAAAATAAATATTTAAATAAAAAATATAAATATTTATTAAATATTTAATCAATTAAATACTGAATTAAAGAAAGATAACATTAGTCTAATAATAATTTAGGTCACTGTAAATTTAAATATTAGACAAAATAGGTGTTAAATTGTAATTTTGATTTTTTTTAAAACTTGGGTGAATACAAGATAGTATTTGTACAAATAATTTCAACTATTTGACAATGAATGCTCATACACCTATATACGTAATGCTCGAACTCGAGACATCAAGGATAATAACAATCCCTTAATCACTAAGATCACTTAATTTATATTAAATTTTAAATTTAAATATCTAATAAATCTTTATAATTTTTTAAAATAGTAAAATATTTTGACTCTTACGAATATTTAATTCTAACTATATTCCTGAACTTGCAGCACACACGAGTGGACCGGTTGTAAGGAGTAGCCAACTAAAATAAATAAAAAGCGCACCAAAGGTTATGCTGCCCCGCGCGCACTCACACATGACCACTGGAGGCGTTAGGCTAAACAAACAATAATAAATCAAAATCCAACCTAAATGACGTGGTTCCGATTTGGAGACGAGTTATAAACAATTAAAGTTATACTCGGCTGCACCAACATAATTTGTTCATGTAGCTAATAATTTGATATTATTTAATTCTCAAATTTAAAATATTGTGTATACATAAAATTTTCATTAAGAGAAACATTCACCAAAATTAGATATACGATATAAGTTAATTAATATATTCAAGATAAAGTCTTGCAATAAGGAGGATAACAAAAAGATGCTATATTCGAGTGTCATGGAATATGATTTATTCGATTTAACACATCGTATAATGTGCATGCACTCTATTTCTATACATATATTTTAAATAATTAGGATAATTATAAAATAATATTATCTTGAACTTTTCTTAATTATTGACACTACATATACATCATTAAATGTGGTTACTTGAATTTAATTTTTTTTAAAAAAATTATTTAATTATTTGTGTCTCTTGATAAATCTTCTTAGATATAAATATGAAGATAATAATAATAATTTATAATGTTTATGTCAAAAGAGTTAAAGATTATGACAAATCCTTTGAAAGCATTGGCGACGTCGGAACACCGGATTTCGTATAATATATTCAACATAATTATTGCAAACTTTTTTTTGAAAGATGATACTTTGTATAATAAAGAAACAAAATACACCACCTCAAGGACCTCATTAAAAAATTTCCATAATCTTAAATGAAGAAAAAAATAGTACACCTTGAGGTGACAGGGTTCTAATACACAAAAACTCTTGCACCATACAATCCATACCTCTGCCCTACAATAATCCCCATAACATAACATAAGTAAGCTTACACTACCGAACCATTAAAGTGAAATGAGATCTAAACAGGGACCAAATACAGACAACATAAACTAAGTAATGAACTAACACATCTAATGGCATCAGCACCACCCATAACATGAACGATAATAAACACTGAAGCATGGAGAAACTGACTAGCTGGAACTAACCCAAAGAAATAAGGGAAAACCACCAAAAGATAAGCGTTGGCAACCACCCGAGCTACTGGAAAACAGATTCCAGACAAAGAAACAGAAGCTTCAAGCTAAGCCACCCTCAGAAGGAAGAAGAAATAGCATACAGAAATTGAGTAGAAAACAACAATGATGTATATGTTTTGATCAAAACCCTTTCAGCGCCAACCAATCAATAAAGAAACGAGACTACGAACAAAGTCTTGAACACTCGGATCCATCGAGGGCCAAAGCGAATAAGCCCAATCACCTAATATAACTATAGCCACTATGTATTTCCGAGAGCACAATGTGCTCCAATCTTTAAATCACAATATCTTTCGAAGCTGAGAAAGCAACGCCCAATTCCTCACCCACACGAACCGTTGCCACTGCATCATTTTCTAGCTCCGTTCGATCAGTAGCGTTTTCCTTCGCAAAAATACCACGAACAACCATACCCCTTCTGTCAGCTTGACTCAACTTTTGCCTCCTCAAAATCTTCTTCTTTATTTTTAAAGCGATACTAGTGCATACACTTCTATTTTCATTAACGAACGACCCTTTGACAGCTTTTGAGAGATAGTAATTTACTTGAAAATTAGGAATAACCTGGTTGGACTGCTGGGATTGCGCCATTTCCACCATGCATGTTTTTACTGAAAAGTCCTCGTCCACTACTCTATTTAACGCCAGAAGCCTACCACGTGCATCGACAAACTGGATTTTAGGACCAACATAATCAAAAATTGGTACATCGTGCATATTCTCTTCAATAGCAACCCTTATTTTCACTAGCCCCATTCTAGCTGTCTCCAATTCATAAACATTAACGCTCCTCTGGCAGAGCGAAGCATGCGAAGTTGCCATATTACAAACTGCCTCGGGACCTATACCAATAGCATGTTCTTCGCTAATCAATGGAACTTCAGCCACTTCCACAACATCTGTGCACCACGCTCCACCCCCCACCAGTGAGCCGTCTATGAACAATCAAGACTCTTCCCTCTCGGAAGATTTTACTGGCGAGACACCAGCGAGCTCCCCCACCATGGATAGCGGGTTGGCAACAACCTTGTCCAACAAAGACGAATCTTCCTAGACAGATTCTGGGCTGAAACAAGGTTCAAACTCATAAAAATATACTGTAAAAATCCCTTCCCCAACTTTTAAATCAAAGGATTCTTCCACTCGAGCTTGGCAGTTTATAATAATCTGAAACATTGCCCTATCAAACGAGCCAGGATTTAAGGTCCCTTCCTCAATGGAGATAAGTTCTCCCCATTTTCCTGCAATATTTCTAAAGGTAGAATGGCTCCACGCAAACGATGGGATCCCTTTGCACGAAAGACATGCCCGACGGCTGCTGCACTGAAAATTTTTCGACCACACTTCCACTTTGTCAAAGCAATTTTTCAACGCCCCAATCTGATTATTTAGAGTATAATCCCTACTCTCTTCATCTTCAATTATGATTAAAATAGCTAACCCGCTTAACCTCATAATTTTCGGACCTAATATACCTTCCTTGTGCATAAGAGCATCTAACTCTTTCATTTTTATAAATTTTCTACACCAACCTATCAAGCAATCTCTAAGAGTTAAGAGCTTATCATCGTCAACAAAATCGACAATGGGAGCCTCTGACTGACTATCATCCTCCACTCTACTCTTGGCCTCGGCTGATATTGGACCAGAAAACTTCTTTCTCCAGAAAGCTTTACGAGGTTGAAATCTCGCAATGAAAACTCTAACTTTAATACCTTGAATCCTAGATCTATCAGCACAGTTGATTGCCTTCCTCGCGTCCTCCAATATGGAAAAACGAACAAAACCAAACCTACTTCCTCCATTGCTCTTTTTGTTAGGTATGAAAGAATCAACCACCTCACCATATCTATCGAATATTTGCCAAAGACCTTAATGATGAAGAAACTCTTGAATATTGAAGAAGATCACCGTAAAGCAATTAATCCCAAACGATCTATTCACCTTACTCGCCATAGTCACTGTAAACAATCACTTCACTTTGTTCTTTTATTATACAAAGTACCCTCTTAAAAAAAAAATTACAAACGTACATATTGAAAATAATCAAAAGCTCCGTTTTGTTTCATTCAATAATGATTCTTTGAAAGTCACATGCATAAATGTTACCCGTCTTTCTCGCGTGCCTTCAATTTTCTACTTTCCCAATTTATTAGTGTTTGATATATTCAAAATTCACTGCTATCGTGTTTGTTGACTTTGTTTGAAGAATTCATAATAGTTATTGTAATCTATAAATTATATTAAATTTAATATAATTAAAAAATTTAATAACATCTTTTAATTTATGAAAAGAAAAATAAGAATAGAATAGATATATCTACGAGAAGTTTATCTTAATTTTCTCTATTTTCTTTTATCAGTGTTAATTTTTTTCTTCTTTATC